ATGCTGCTGATTATCCATGCTGCTGATTATCCATGCTGCTGATTATCTCGTGCCGCTGTATTCATTCATATCTACTCACCAGACTCATGTTCAGGCTGCTGTAATATACCATACCGTTTTACATTATAGTGTATATTTTAGATCAGGGGTGCCCACACTTTTTCACCATGCGAGCTACTTATAAAATGACCAAGTCAAAGTGATCTACCTACTATAAAAATACAAAACATACTTGCAGTATTTGCTGTGTCACTCTGTAGACTCGTCCAATTGCAGTGAAAAACACTTAGTCCACGTTATCCTTCCAAAGTTGCTGGGTCAAATCCTCCTTCACCTTTTTCTTTCTCATCTCGCTTTTCGGAAGAAAGTCTGTCATAGTTTTTTTTTTTTTTTTTTTTTTTTTTAAATACAGTAGTCTGAAAATGCCGCTCCATATTTCCGTTCTTCGGAATAGCAATGGTAGACTTGCAGATGAGGCAAACGCACTTCGAATATGACATTGTGAACAAAAAGTCGTCCTCCTCCCATTCTGTATGGAAATGGTAAGTTTCTTTTTGCTTCTTACTTGGTCCAGCTCCCCCACTCGTTTTATACCTTCTTGAGTTTAGATTAGAAGAAATAAACTGGGGGCTGTTACTAGGCAACTTGGTAGCTTACTAGTTTTTGGCGTGGTTGTATGTGCATACGCGGTGACCCATGTCGGAAAATGTCAGGTCTCAGACTGGCTGCCCTGCATATCAAGTGACAAATTTCATATAGTGAGGAAAGATGATTGGCTGATATGTATTTTATTAATGCCATGCGATCTACTCGTATTACCTTTTGCGATTGATGTATTGGGCACCCCTGTCTTAGATCTTTTATCGTACCATTTGGAGTTTGTTTGGCATACATCTTGGATCCTTATTTACTGTTTCTTTCTATATTTTATATTTTTGCTATGTTTGGGTGTAACTGGGACCTTGAGTACATAATTTTGTTCCACCTCATGTACCACATGTGATGCGAATGACCATAAAGAACCTTGAACTTAAAAATTAAGCTGTGAAAATCATGATTCAGTAGCTTATAGAACCACCTAAAGCAGCAAAAACACTAATTTATTGTATGACTAGTCTCTCGTACGCTGTGAAATAATTTTAGCCCCTTTTTATTTTTTATAACATTGCTCCAGTTCATTGGGGTTTGCAGATACTGGTTTCTGCACATCTCTCTCAAGGTCTCACCACAACTTTTTGATGTGGTTGGAGTCTAGACTTTGACTGGATCCTCGAGTCCTGCTGTAGATTTGCTGCTGTGTTTGGGATCCTTGTTGCATCATGACCTGGTTTGGTCCAGCTTCAGCTGTCAGATGGCCTCACTTTTAACTCGAGAGTATTTTTGGTCTGCAGAGAAGTTCGTGACTGACTCGGTGACTGCATGGAGCTCAGATCCTGTGGCTGCTTAAAGGCCAAATCATCACTCCTCCACCGCTGCGCTGAATAGTTGGTCTGAAGTGTTTGTAGCAAAATGTGTTTGGTTTAATCCAAACATGGTGCTGTGTGTTATTGAACAACTCTATTTTGGGCTGAACCGTCCTGAGAACATTGCTCCAGACGTCTTTTGGTTTGTTCAGATGCAACTTTAATGCGGTTCAGTCATAAATTGTTTTTAGGGGGTCTTTTTCTTCAACTCTTCCAAACAAGATGTACTTGTTCAGATTTTCTAATGGTTAATTTCATGAACTTTTAATATTTACCTGCTAACTGAGGCCTGAAGAGTCTGAAAAGCTCTAGGTGTGATTTCAAACTTTAGGACTTGGTAAAAACCAGATCATTATGACCGCATTTGTGAAACAAGAATTGAAAAAGGCTGGACTTTGTAGTCTCTGTGAATGTTGTCGTTCTTGTAGTTTATCTGAACTGGCATTGGTATAAGAACTACAACTCAGAGCACCACAAGGGGGCAGGAAGCCTTGAAGAGCTAAAGACATCTGGCCAAAACCTGACATCTATCTCACATCACTGAACTGAATCTCAACCTTATGGGACAAAACACTTAAAATAAAACTAGCCAAACAAGTTATATTTTTTTGTTACATCCCTTTTTACACCTGGATCAGGTTGCAGGTAATCTGAACGCTCCCGTTGCCCCGCCCGGTAGTGTTGGACCCATTTCAGATGTTGACTGCGTTGTTTGTTCAAGCTGCTGTTCTCACGCTGCACAGCGTGGGCCTCTCCCCAAAGAATCTTGTTTATACTCGTCTGAAACTAGAAATCATCAGTGAAGTGGATCTGACAGCCAAAAAATGTGTTCACACACTTGAAGCTAGAATCAAAACCTTATTATGTTGCAATTAGGAGTTTATATATGTGCCATCGTTAGAATCAATGCTTCATAATTCAGTACTAACTTCGTGTATCTGAATCAACAGATGGGACAGCAGGACAGTTTTTTGTCTACACTGTTCCCGAGTCTGTGGCAGAACCCTCGGTGGCCCCCCCTGCTCTTTCCTCTGGGGACGGTTCCTGCTTGCTGCAGAAACTGACCTCGCACCCTGACGTCTACTTTGCTCCCTCTGACGGCTGTGGTGTAAACCAACATGTAAGACTCATTTCTTTATGGGTTTGTACTGATTGCACATACAAGAGTGAATTCACTAAAACGTCGTTACTAATATCCTTTCATGCGACCACTGTTCTCCTCCTCACATGCTTGGGATTAGAGATCTGTCTCTGAACCAATCAGTTCTCTTAAAAATATGGATCAAAAGAAAAGCAACTTCTAACAGTTGCAGACATTCTCTCCTAAGCTTAAAGTAATTATTAAATATAGCCCAACCCAACATTTTTCAGTCAGGTCATCTGGACAGTTTCTTTTTGTGCTGAAAGGTTTCACCTTCCATCCAGAAGGCTTCATCAGTCAAGGAAACTCAACTCAATGCAACACAACACAAAATTGATTCTTCTCCCACACAGCTTACTCAACTGGAACAAACCAGTTATGTTGGTGCTAAGATGGTGTCTTTGGCACACCCCCTCCTGTGGTGCCAGCCCCCTTCCTCTGATTAGATATAACATTTTAGTCTATTGAATTCAAAATGGCTGCCACATCCAGTTGACTTTCGGAAACACAAAAATGGCTGACTGTCAGTTTGAAGAGATTTTCAGCTAAACTTTAGTGTTGGTGGTTTAAACTTATTTTTTCCTAAAAAAGTGCATACCACAAGTACCAACTGTTAAATGGTCTTAAAACCTTAAATAATTTTCATCTTATGGGAATCAAGTGTTGGGGTTGCATAAAAAAATATGGGTAAAATCTTGTTGTTTTGACAAAAGGCTGATATGGTCTTATTAGTTTTATGTATTAAGATTTTTCCACTGCGTCATTCATGCACCATTAGTGATTGTCCTTTGGTCTCAGCTGCACTCACATTTTCCATGTGCAGTACATGCATGTGTCATATAACTCAAATCGGCTCAGCTGAGAACCACCGAGAACAATCTTTTATTGGTTCATTAAGCCAGATCTCTCAGAAAGCCTGGCTGTGTTGCATTCAAAGCCTGTGGTTTGTAGTGTTGTGGAAATGTTTAGTGACCAACAGCCTGCAGGAGTGTCACAGAAGTTGGAAACCAAACACTATTGATGCATACCAAAATACTGAGCAACAAGACAACAGTTTAAACCTGGTCCAAACTGTTGGTGAATTTATTGTGGGGTTGGCTGTGGGTCAGTGGAGAGTCGGAGGTTTGATTCTACCTACATACTGAAGTGCCCCTGGGCAA